GGTTGTTTTCCTGCTTCTGTGTTTTTCATCAGTTTAGAAACAATTCATGGGACGGCTATAAGTGACCCAGATGTCATTATATGCTTGGTGTTTCTTCCAGTCACCCCATAATAGGATGGTACGCACATTCGTTTCTTCAAGGAAATGTGAATCCTATATGAGCTGAGGTATTTTATACAAAAGGGGGATGTTGTAAGTGCCCAGACAGAGGTCCTACTGACTTACTTGCTGGAGAACCCGGAAGAGTCAGCTGCAAACTCTACACAAAGGAATCGAATTACAAGAAGGGGGGTGTTTTATGATAGCATTACGGCATTGCAAACAGCAATGGTTTCCAAGGTATTAATACAATGAAAACTTTGGGGGTACAGAGAGAGCAATAAGGCCCTAAGGTGCCCCCATATTTAACCAGATCTGTTTTCTTGGGCCATTCTTATGGGGACGCTGGATCTGTTAGCAAGAAACATGATTCAGAACTTCAAATAAGCTGCCCTACTTTTTTTTTGGCTGCTTTGGGTCTTTGTTGCGGCGAGTGGGGGCTACTCTTCATTGCAGTGTGCAGGGTTTTCATTGCAGTGGCTTTTGTTGCAGAGCACGGGCTCTAGGCACGTGGGCTTCAGTAGTTGCAGCATGCGGGCTCAGTAGTTGCAGCACACGGGCCCTAGAGCACGCAGGCTTCAGTAGTTGTGGCATGTGGGCTCAGTAGTTGTGGCGTGCAGGCTCAGTACTTGTGGCTTGTGGGCTCTAGAGCACAGGCTCAGTAGTTGTGGTGCACGGGCTTAGTTGCTCCATGGCATGAGGGATCTTCCAGGACCAGGGATTGAACCCGTGTCCCCTGCATTGGCAGGCGGATTCTTAACCACTGTGCCACCAGGGAAGTCCCAGCTGCCCTACTTTTTTTTTTTTTTTTGCGGTACGCGGGCCTCTCACTGTTGTGGCCTCTCCCGTTGCGGAGCACAGGCTCCGGACGCGCAGGCTCAGCGGCCATGGCTCACGGGCCCAGCCGCTCTGTGGCATGTGGGATCTTCCTGGACCGGGGCATGAACCCATGTCCCCTGCATCGGCAGGCGGACTCTCAATCACTGTGCCACCAGGGAAGCCCCGTCCTACTTTTAATTCCAGAATCTCTATACTCTATGCCTCATCTTCTCCCCCGCACCCCTGAATGTCTCCCCCATCCTCTGTATATACCAGACACCAAAGGAGTGAAGTCTTGAACATTCAAAAAGCGACTCTCTTCCGACAGGATGCTGAATCGGTCTGACCAGTGCATCAGTGGCACACACGTTATCATGAGTGCCTGCTGCGTTTGCTCCTTGACTGTCCATCGAATCCGGTTTCAGGGCTCACCCCCTTCAGATTTACGTCTCCTCCTATTTGCTCAGTATCTGACCTCTTCCTTCTCCTTCAATGACAATACTGAGAGTAATATGGAATAAAGCAGTAAAACAAATCAAATAACAAACTCAAATTTCAGAGCATTCCCTGAGCTGCTGCAGTCAGGGAGCTGGTTATTATTGTCTGAGAGGAAGCAACCTTATGCCCAGTAGAAGACTCGGTTCTCTGTTAGGACATCAATCAGAAAATGATTTTCCTCTTCAGAAGAATAGTATCAGATGCCTCTCACCCCCGCGGTGTACACAATGCCAAGAGGAGCAGAGAACCCAGCTCCAAGAGTGAAAAGTTCTTGCCACTGGTGACACGTAATAGTGGCAGATCTTTTGGGGGGAGAAGACCGGAGGTTACAAAACTTCACAGAAGGCAAGTGATAAAGATTTGAACTTGAAACAAACACTACAGCTGAGAACTATTGGAAAACAGTGTCAAAGCCCTAAAGAGAACAACTTTCTCAGTAAAGAGGGTTTTGGACAGAATAGTATGGGAAGAAGCAAAGATTTCTGGTCTTGTGTAGAAGTGGCATCCAGCAAAGTACAGAAAACAAAAAATGTTTTGTGAGTCAGAACGGATAAATGTCTCACCATTTCTTTTTTAAACAAGAGGGACTTACCCGATTTCATTGCATATTGGGTATTGGTACAGAATATGTCGTGATGGAGACTTGGCAGCCCTCCTGTGCTGTCTCCATGTTCTGTTCAGTCTCATTTGTTTTATCCTGATGGGTTATAGGAACTGTGCCTTGTGATGCAGCTTAAGACAGGGCACTTACGTACAGAAGTTTCTGTCCAAGAGGGAAAAAGAAAATACATGCCGCTAAAGCTTTGCTGCACGTAAAATAGAATTGCTAAGAGTTAAGAGCTAGAACTGCTTTGTCCTTCCATCCTTTCTTGTGAAGCTGCTCTGGCTCAGAGGTACCCCACTTATTTTGTTATGGTGATTTACGACTTTATCTAAATCCTCCAACTATACTTATAATTAATGACATAAATCCATTTCCATAATGTTATATAACACACTGTCTTATCCTACCCCACATCCTGGGGAACGATATTAAAACAATAAAATAATTATGGCTGAAATTCATCGGTATCCTAGTTAGCACATTTAGTTACAACTATCACAGAGTAACCAAATGTATGATAAAACTTACAAGAATAAATCTATGGGCGTGAAATTTATTTGCACTTTTATTTTAAATTGTGCCACATAATTAGGATATAATGAAGTATGCAATAAAATTTTGCTGAATAAATGAATGCGTAAGTCACTTGTGTTTTCTTTTACATTCACATGGAGGATCATTAGGGATGACTGTATATTTGTATATTTGCATATGTATGTATCTATATAAGTTTATAGACATATATGTAATATGTATTTTCAAAATGTGATTGTAATAAAATTTTAACTAATGTGAAAAAAACGGAATGTTCTCCTGAAGGTAAATTAAATTCTGGAAGTGCTTCACTAATAACAACTGTCTTTCTACACCAGCAGTCCCCGACCTTTTTGGCCCCAGGGACCAGTTTCGTGGAAGACAGTTTTTCCACGGATGTCGGTGTGGGGCTGGGGGGTATGGTCAGGTGGTAATGAGGGCAATGGGAAGCCTCCTGCTGTGCGGCCCGGGTTCCTAACAGGCTGCGGACCGGTAGGGTTGGGGACCCGCACTCTACACAACCACCTTGAATATTCAAATGTAAAAAGACAGTAAGCATAACATGAGATTAGGAATAAGGTAATGCTGGATACAAATATTTAGTGAAAGTAAGGAAGATGCCTCAGCTTGGAAACAGTAACCGAAGGGATTTATGCAATAAAGTCAAATGTCTAAATATGAAAGAGTGTAACACATTTGGAGAAGAATGGCCAACAAGAAAGAAGGTCTGTCTTTATTCTTATTAGCATGACGTATGTTTCAAATCCATGGGAAAGAAGGCTCAATAATTCTAAGAATCATTAAAGAAATGCTCAAAATTTCTCAGAATTGTATGAAAAGAAAATAAACATTCAGACTCATATTTGGATCCTTGAGTTTGGGATCACTGCCAATATCAGAGGGCTACATGGGGAATATATTTAAAAATGAATCTATATTGGTCAGCGCCCTCCTTCTATTAGGGGAAGATATTAATTAGGCAAACACATAGCTTCTTCTCAGAGCAGCTCTTGGTTTAAAAGCTACTCAGCCTATTGGTTTAATGGCTCAATTTAAAAAAATGCAACATCCTCTTTTTATAACGTCTTTCATAGGGTTTACTTATTATGAAGAAATCAGTAGGCTGAGATTTGGGGAAATGGGACAGACTTTTCACAAGGAATAAAACTAATGATAGTATGTGTAAAAAATCCCCTTTAAAGGAAAAATACAACAATAGTGTAAAATTAAGGAATGGTAATCTGGTAGGTTGAGTTTTTAACTAGCTGCCTAACTCTATCTCCAGCTAAACAATATGAATATGGAAAAATCTAATATAGAGAATGTGATAATATGAAAAACAATGGTAATTATCCAGATATACTTTCCAAATCCTTCTCATTGGTAATAATGGTTTTTAGGTAAAGAGTATAAAATACAAAACTGTTAGTCATTGTACTGCCATAGCAAAGTGAAAGCTGTGGGGTTTTAGTCCCTTATTAAATATCTCCTGGAAGAGGGCTTCCCTGGTGGCGCAGTGGTTGAGAGTCTGCCTGCTGATGCAGGGGACGCGGGTTTGTGCCCCGGTCCGGGAAGATCCCACATGCCGCGGAGCGGCTGGGCCCGTGAGCCATGGCCGCTGAGCCTGCGCGTCCGGAGCCTGTGCTCCGCAACGGGAGACGCCACAACAGTGAGAGGCCCGCGTACCGCAAAAAAAAAAAAAAAAAAAAAAAAAAAAATCTGGAAGGGCCAAAGATGGTATACAGAGTTCTGATATTATTTTTCAAAGGTTGTCATAAATCAATCTTACCTGCAGAATCTATAGGAGTTAAACGTTTGGGGATTAGACAGGAACAGCCTTCTTCTAATTTTCTTTGTTTTTTTGTGTGTGAATGTTCTGAGTATTTGTAAACAAATTGCAATATTTTGCCTTGTTTTCAATTATTAGGACAAACAGCACCTTTGAGATACTGACCTACTGTCAGTATTAGTGGTACGTTACATTGTGTGACCCAGTATAAATTAGACTGTGCCTCTTTTAATCTCCCTCTAAGCAAAGATACCTTGTTTTCCAGGTAGGTGATGGAATTTGAATGGAGGTGGATCAGGGTTTGGTATAGAGTTTGGTGTAGAGCTGTTGTTACCAAGGATACTCAGGTTTTCCTAGTTGGTGAAGTATAGCTACATGCATTCAATGGGCCTAAAACTAAAAGCAAGGTACACATTTCAAAAATGTGAAGTCAGTGAACAGATGAGATGAATGTTGCCTGATTTTCAGGACCCCTGTAGTATTCGTGACAAGAAACTACAGTTCGTTCAGTGTTTGCCTACCAAGGTGATGCCAGTTCATCTACAAACACCTGGAACATCTTTTCTGTGCATTATTCATGAAATAGTGCTTAAAAGGGATAACAGTGACACATAAGCCAACATATATTGGAACAGAGAGTGAAGCAAACTGGTGGTAAAAACATGACCTTCCTCCATAAGGTCAAATAGTTTTATTTTGATTAAACACTACAATACAGTATATATCCATTAAAAAAAGAAAACTCTATAGTGTATATAAATTATTCCTTCCATTCATCAGTTCTTTTCCATTACAGCTTTGGTACAATGTGATTTCAGTATATAATTTTTAAATACTTTTAGCATCACAAAGTCAACACAAAGTACAAAACTAATAATCCAAATTAGGGATATTATCATCTACACAGTGGTATTCAGTGGTAGGAGAAAATCTTACCTTGATGAATTCATGTCACTAGCTAAGCTAGAAAGGCATACCTAGCAGACATGACGGAAATATGCACCATTAACCAGCTAATGTGTGGATTAGTCTTTGTTTTTTTTTTTGTTTGTTTGTTTTGTTTTTTACAGAATACCAGCAGCAGTCATTTGGGTGTTGAGTGAATACTTAAGTCCTCAGTGAGTTTTCGCACCTTGCTCTTCCTCCCTTAAAGGCCATGAGTAGTATCTGAAGACATGTACCATGGCCAGAGTGCTCAGAACTTGACCTGCCACCCAGCATTGCTCATACTGGCACAGTTGGTCCTGCAGCTGGCTGACATCACGGGGACAGTGCTGGAGGGACAGTGAGGGCCCATCAGCCTAAGGTTGTTCTGAGGGGTCGGCGGTGTGACGTTACAGTACACAGGCATTCCAGTGGCTGGGAGGGACCCTTGGCCTGCCTGGTTAGGTAGCATGATTGGCTGTTGGTATGACTGCTGGGGCAGTCCTTGAGAACCCTGGGTCATTGGCACCTGTAGGAAGACACAAGACAGAAGCCTGTATGAAGAGGTTATTTTGGGGTGTCCCATGAGCTACAGTGGTGTCATCAAAAACAGTCATGCTTTTAGGTTGGAATCCCAGCTCTCCCTTTTATCAGCTGTTTCACATTGGGCAAGTCACTTAACCTCTCTGTTTCTCTGAGTCCATCTGCATAATGTAACCTCCTTCAAAGTGCCCCTGAAAGGACTGCTGGGGTGTACAGCTCTTGGGACACATCTGGCTAGAAGTACATGCTCAGGAGATGTTAGTTCTGAGCCTCCTTCCTTCCTCTCTCCTGGCCCTCCAGGGACTGCCATCTGGACCTCCCACTCCGGATTTCTCTCAGTTTTGAAAAGCCATGCTCCCATTCCGGTTTTACGCAAAGTGGTCTGGACCCATCGATAGTAAAAGGGGATTCTGTCCCAGGAACACCAGCTCACTCTCAACCTGCAGCTTCAGAGAACATCTCCTATCCAGTTGGAGGTAGAAACTGATGCAGTGTGAACAAGGATTGTCAGGGCAGGAGGACCGAGGATAAGTTCTCCAGGGCCAGAAGTACCTGATGCAGCTAAATTTAATGATTAAAGTGTTTCACCAACCCTTCACTGCCCCCTGCCCCCTGCCCCCTGCCAGGGTATTTCAGGATATACATTACAGAAGGGGGCATGACACTTTTTAAATACCCAGTGTGGGTTTAGTCTGGAAAATGCAGCTGTCAGGTCCAACAAATGCCCTTTAAATGAATCTTGAGATGCCATTTTAAAATCCCTTATAAGATAAGTTTGTGGTGAAATGAAGTTTCTTTGAGTGTGACCAAAAACAAATGAAAATTTGCTGTGAGGACTTTCTCCCAGTAAGTACAATTTCAACAGAATGCCCGAAGGTCTTCATGAATAGAACTTTAAAGAATTTTCTTCCATGAATACAAAGTCTGTATGGAATCACACTTAGCAGGGCATTCAAAAGCCACAGTAGCTACAGAAGTATACATTTCCCATTTTCTGCTTGTCTATTATAATCTTGACTCAAAATCAGCCGTCAGCACTGGCTGGGCCTAGCACCTACCACCCAGCCAACCAGCCGATGTGGGGACATACCCACAGCCTGTACTTAGGCAAGTGCTGCTTTATAAAACACGATTTTCCAAGTTACGGATATGCACCTGATAATTAGACACGGTTGGGTAGGAGAGCATCACGCTTTGCACTGGAGTTCCCTGGTGGCTGCTCATCATGCCCTGACTCTGAGGCGGCTGCTGTACCCCCACGAGGCCTTGGAACCCCTGTTGACCAGACAAGAGCGGCTGGTAACCTGTGAAGAAAGAACACCATTTGAACTGGTTGTACCAAGAAGAACAATGATGATATTGTATGGGATGAGAGCACTTCTTCACCAGGCAACCTGCAGACCTTTCAATCTCTGTATCAGGAGTGTGTATTTCCTAATAACGCGTGTTTTGCTTCTTAGGGCGGACAAGGGTATGACTCCAAAAAATTCACTGATACTTCCATCCTTAAGAGTGGTCCAATCAGCAGGTTGTGACAGTGGTAAATTCTTCATGATGCAAAGACCGGAACCTGTATTGACATCGGTTGACTGCTGTAAATTAAACCTTTCAGATCTATCCTTTGCTTTGGTTTCAATGATATTTGGAGAAGTCACACATTATCAAGTTTTTTCCTAATTAATTTGATTCATTCTCTTACCCTCTCGCTTTTCTGCATCACCTCACTTCACACAGAGATCACCAAACAGCCTGTTAACTTAGGATGCATTCTGTTTTCCATACCCTAGTGAACAAAATGACTCCCTACTCTACATAATTCAACGTTCATTGACTTAGACAAAAGGTAACAACAGCAGGTGTGTCATGCTTTTATTCTGTGCTACCACTAGCTCCCAAGAAAACGTTCTGGCAAAACACTCCCATGAGGGATCATGTACATATCATAGATAATGCAGAGTACAACACGTAAAGAAGGTATGTGTTTATGACCTGCTGGATGGGTCAGTTGGTAGGTTTTCTTTTCCTTCTTTTTTAAGTGGACCAGGATTTATTCTAATTATCTTAATCCCTACTACAAGATGTGGTTTAAAATGCATTCTTGAATGAAGGCTGTGAACTGTTCTTACAAATATTGGGAAGAAAGTTGTAATGTAGGTGAAAATGACATGGTGATAGAGAAATAAGACAGATTTACGTCATGCTGTAAAATAAGGTCCTTCCAGAGCTCAGACTATTAACTGTACTGAGTGTCTGGAAATCAGTGGAACTGCTGTCTTAATATAATTCCCTGCGAGAAAGTCTTTACAATCCTAGATTTTCTTAACGCAGACACTGTTTTACAACCAGATTTTAAAAATTGAAACAAAGGGTAAAAGATTCCTAATCAATCCACATTGTTTATAAATAGACCTCGTTTTGAGTGCATGTGAGAGTTTTAACTGAGAAAGGGTAAAATTACATAAAGACTATAATGTAATTTTAAATTTTTTTAAAGGGAATTCCTTTATTATTTTTTTATTTTTATTTATTTATTTATTTATTTTTGGCTGGGTTGGGTCTTCGTTTCTGTGCAAGGGCTTTCTCTAGTTGCGGCAAGTGGGGGCCGCTCTTCATCGCGGTGCGCGGGCCTCTAACTATCGCGGCCTCTCTTGTTGCGGAGCACAGGCTCCAGACACGCAGGCTCAGTAGTTGTGGCTCACGGGCCTAGCTGCTCCGCGGCATGTGGGATCTTCCCAGACCAGGGCTCGAACCCGTGTCCCCTGCAAAGGCAGGCAGATTCTCAACCACTGCGCCACCAGGGAAGCCCTATAATGTAATTTTAAACAGACAGTACTTCGCTCTCTTTTGCTCTGAAAAAATGTGTTTTCACTCATCTTAGAAATACTGTGGAAACGTGTCTTGCAGATAGTCACTGAGTTAAACTCTATTCATCTAAGGAGATGGAAATAAGGTGTGGTCAGTTTGGAACACCCGAGAGAGCAAACTTGGGGATGAGCCGAGTTGGGAGGCCTGGACTGTGCCTGCACTGATTGGTAAGTGGAGCAGGTGTGTAATCTCGAAAGTCATCCTTTGACCTCCTTTATGTGTCCCATTTTTTTCACGTTCACATTACTCTCCCTACTCCACCGTCATAATGGTTTTCCTTACTAGGTTATTCTGCATTCTCGCAAAGACACCACATATTAAGAATATAAGTAAGGGTCCTGACCACCTTTCCTCCAGTTACATTGTGCTGGGGTAACACAGTCAAAGCCTCCCTTACATATGCTTTGCGGCAGTTTATACAGTATGGAAAAATCATCAGACTTGGGGGACAAGAAATGTGACTTTAGGCCATGTCATGGCCCTTACTACCTCCCAGAATGCCTCATATGCAGGGAGAAATTAAACATTAATTGTAAAAAACTGTTTTCTATGATTTCCCATTGTCTAGATCTACCACTCTTATTCATATACCCGTTGGCCCTAAAAAAATTCTGTTGCTGTTTTACTATTATTATGACATTACTCCTAGCCACGTCAAATTCACTGTCATATGAATTGTTGTATATGTTAAAAAAATAACTTGGCATGACTATAGAAAATTTATGACCACAGCCTTCCTTACCATTTCCTAGTTATATAACAAGAGCAGGCAATATGAACACACTTCCAAGTCTGTGTAATGGTGCCTTATTTCTGGCTGAAGATTCAAAGTACAGGTTGAAAATGAGAGAAATGTCTTCTAAGAGTCTGACTTATATTTGGTCTTCTGGTGAAAGCCCAGTTGGCCTCAATGGTCCTGTTGCAGAATACACACGGCTATTATGTAAACAAAGAGGAGAGGAAAGGAGGGGAGAGGGGAGGGCAGGAGAGGTCCAGTGGCCTTGCATCTAAAGATGATGTATTTGCTTATTGAATCGTTCCATCCTTTCACCGAGTCATCTTCAAAATGACTCTGTTTCGCAGAGTCTGTTCAAAAATAAATTGAGGTGGCCTATGAAAGATTCATTTATTACATCAGCTCTATAAACCAAAATTGGGGTGAAAGGAAAAATAAGTCTGATGATAACAGAGCTGTTAAGACATACAGAAAACAGAATGTCTTGGTAGAAAGGGGAAGCAACTGTCAAATATTCAAGGAGAGAAAAAGAGTGAGGTTGGGTGGCCTCGTCCCAGTAAAGGTGCACGGCCTGGGAGGGTGTGATTCATCTTTGCTGAGCACACAGATGCAGGGACACTGCGATGTCGCCCTCCCCAAGCCCCCTCTGCCTGATGATTTGTGAACTTTAATAGTCAGTCATGCATAGCAATGGGCTACCAGCTGTGCACTGGGATTCCCACAGTAAACACACTTAAGGCAAATAAAGATTTATGTGGGGAGCGAATCATGCCATACAATTTCCAAATGAAAACTTAAGTGTAAGGAAAGCCCAATTTATATTCATGAACCCCATTCATTTCTCAGTGCGCTCTCCAGGCAAGAAATGTACACCTGGAATGCTTTAATTGGAGGGCTCCTTTTCTTCACATGATGCTACAGAAGGTAGGCAGCAGAATGGTCCTTGAGACAGGAGGCTATTTGGAATGTGAATCTGAGCTCAGGTCCAGGAATAGACAAATAGAAATGTGATAGCAGTGACCTAAGCACGAACTAACAGGGTCTACCGGGGACACAGCTCGCCTGAAGGCAGAGGTGGCAACGCTGGCTGGTGGCAACCTGCTTATCTCATCTATTCAAATGAGAAATGTGTTCCAGTTTGTCAATTCTTAGCTGTGAAATGATCAGTTTTTCACATTTATTGAGGATTAGTAGATAGAATGCATCTGACAAAACAGAAATAGCAAAAGTAACTGCCCTGTAGGCTTGCTATGGTGATCATAAAGACATTAGCTATTTTTATTATTCCTTTTTCAGTTGAGATTAATTCAGTTTTCAAGTCACATGCATCATTTATTTTCTGAAGGTAAAAAGGTTAGGAAAGGACAAATGCCTCCTAGCAAATAAATGAGTGCCCTCTACTAAGACGGAGGAGTTATACCATTTAAAATGTCTGGAGCTTACAAATCTGAAAATTTAATATTGTTTTGACTAAAATACAGCAGTTATTGAATACTGTTTGTAGTCAGAGGATAATTCATTAATATTCTGTCAAGGAAACATTTCGCTGGATGTAGCATATTTATGAAAAATCAGAATGTTAATTGGGATTACAATTTAGGAATTATAAATTGCATGATTGTGACTGACATTATTTTAACTCTTATTTGAATACACTGTTACAGAGCCAACATTTTGGAAATGAATGGATGACAAAGCCGTAACCTGTATTTTCAGGGTTTTGATTCCCTGGTTGTTGTTGGTTATAAAGGTTGACGATGAGGAAGGGTGTAGTTAGGAGGGCAAATAGCTACAGAGCAAAGTAATTGAGAAGCTAGACAGTTCTCATCACCTCCCCAAACCCACCCAAGCAGTGTAATTTTCCTGTTGGGTTTATTAAGTATTCTTAATATGGTAGAATGCCTTTTCAAATGATTAAAGTTAATAATCTGCTTAATAGAAAATATGACTTATCTTGGATGAACCAACATACATGCATTTCTCCAGGTTTCTAAGGAACCAGCTAGCTGATTCTGAATTCAAATTCTGTTCTTTGTACATGGTATTGAGATGGAATTACAGTAGTTCAGTTGTGGCATGGCTGGTGAAGACTATGAAAAAGAAAAAAAATGCTTATCCAGGGCTGGCTTGTCCCTTTGCCGAATTTTTATAGTTCATGCATTGCACACACCACTGCCTAATATCTGCCCGGTTCGGTTTCTTGGTTTCCTATCAATTCCTCTAAACTTTCATCTTCTTTAAGGATTTTCCATTTTAAAGGAGCTAACAAGCTATAATTGTTGATCACTTTCTCCGATCCAAGCAGTAAATTAAGCACTTTTACTTTATTGTCACAAGAATCCCGGGAGGCAGTCAGTGTTATTAAACTCCTTTTGCAAAAGAGACAACTGTGACTTAGATGTAGACATTGTCAGGGTCAGACAGCTAGTAGGAGGGAAAGCTAGAAATTAAGTTGTGGTTTTCTCGCTTGGGCATCCCTGCTTTTACTCCCTAAATTGTAGTACTCCCTAAATGTAGTATTAATACATTCTTCCAACTTTCATAGCTTAACATAAATCCCCTTAGCATGGCAGGTACTCAATGGCTATTCATTGCATTAATTGTTTTCTCAATAGTTAATTAAGTAAAGAGGACAAGAGTTATGATCCATAGTCTGTTGAACAAGATCTTGCTGATATCAAAGGAAAAAAAAAAAAGGTAAAG